TAGGATAAAGTGAAATTTAAATTTGGTGTATGTTTATAAAGTACGTACTTTGTATAATACCTCCCCCCCCCCTTCGGGATGTACGTACTTTTTGAACGGCCCCTAAATACATTTTTTTTTCCTAATTATTTGGCCCGGCATTATTTGTACGGTCATTGATCAAATGTTGCCATTTTATTATAATTTATTTATTGCAATAAACAAATGAGTTTTCGTCAGGCTGACGGATGTTCTTATTAATATTGTTCCTTGTATTTCAAATACAATTAGAGCTTAGAATCTGACCTAGGACTAATTTATAATGTTGTATATAAGATTATTGTTTATTTGCATTGGAGGTGTATATAGAATTTTAACGAAATTTACCAGCACATTTCATTATAATCCTTCCAATCAAATTATTATTGCTAAAATTTATGGGGAGTTAATATTGTTAAAATTTTAAAATTAATTATTACCGCTAAAATTTATAATTTTCTTAGTTTTTACTTACAAGTGTTAAAAATCACCAAAAAGCGTAACATTTTAACGTCCCCATAGAGGCGGTATATATGAATTATTTATTCGAATTAACTATTTATTAACCTGGCACTAACAAGATGAATCGAGTAGTAGTCACCACCTCCCCCTCACCCAAGTGAAACCGAAACCAAAAGTATAACTCTATCTCCTCTTAGTCAAAGGTTAGTTCTTGTTTCAGAAAAAAAAGTTCCATTAATTAGTGATGCCAAGCATGCTGCCCAACGCCGGCTCTAATACCAAACGAAATTCCTCTCTTTTAACAACCTTGCAGGGGGTGGGGGATGCCAACGAGCATCCCTCTACAGGTGAAGTGAAACGAGAACTAAAAAATTCTCTAGACAGGTGAATCTGGTACTTCGCAAGAATGGGCATTTTCTCAAGACTGTTTGGGGTGGGGGGAAGAGCATCGGCGGTCTTTTAGATCCACTTTTGTAGTTCCCTTTCAAATCCGGCTTCTAGGAACTTTGCTGCCTCTGCATTCCATTCCCTGGGCCGCTGGACCAATGGGAGGCGTTCAAACGATTCTGCTTCCCACGGGGTCGTGTCCTCTGGTAGACCCTTGAATCGCTGCTTCACTTCTTGGGTGGGTGGGGATCGACCGTCAAGACTCACGTGTCTTCTGTGTGAGGCCTGTTTTTTAGATTGAAAAAAGCATTCCTTTTTATTTCGTGAAATAGTTTCCTTTTTTTTTACAGCCTAGACTATATTTTTTCTTTTTCGCCAGAGCTTTGTTTATTAGCCGCTTGGAGATTTTCTGGGAAATCGATCGAGATTAGGCGGAACTTTTTTCTCTCCTCTTGGTTTAATTGGGGTGACTCTGCATGATTCTATCTCGAATCTTTGATCTTCCTTTTCAACGTCTTTTAATATCAATGCATTTATTTAATTGCGAAATCTAATCAAAATAAGGAGTGGCTAGAGTGATATTTACGAACCAACAAATAATCAAGTAGGTTTGGATACTTGACATTCATGATATATTTATATATAATATATGAAATTTTAAGGACATGTTCTTCAAATAAAACTATTAAACGTGTTTTGGTTAGTAAGGGGCTTATAATTTGCTTATTTTTGCTGAGAAGAGGCTTAATGAGACTCTAAAAATTAATGTTTTTTTTTATTTATTTGCTCTTTTTATTCAAAATTATTCCAAGGATTAATTTTGAATTGAAATAAAAGTTTCATTCGGGGGAAGAAGTGGAGAAAAAAATATCTTTCACGGAGTTAAACATATTTATAAAATGGAGTCAAAACGTAAGTGTCTTTTATGCAAAATTTCATATTTTTTTTTTTAAGATTAATTAAGAAAAATATTTAAATTGGATTAATACAGTAAAAGAAAGTTATTGTTAAAGCGATAAACATAGTGATGCAACTTGCCTGAGTACCTAATGTTTGAACGGTAGCCGAAGCTAGCTAGTTTCCTTAAAATCGAAGAAAATTTAAACACATTAAAACATTTTTTATATACAGGAAATAACTAGATATTAGCTGAAATATACAGCTTCTGTATTGACTTAATAAATCGTTGTATTTCTTTTTCTATTTTCGGAGGTTTAAAATCTTATTCTCTCTAGATCCACTTATTTTACCAAAATCTTGTTATTTTTGTGAACAATTTGTTTCAAGTTTTCAAAAATATAATTTATGTAAATATATTTCTGAAGAAAAGTTCATTTCATTTCATTCATTTTGAAGCAGAAATTATTTAATCTCCGAAACTTACAACTTAGCTTTTAAATCGTTTATTTTATTTTTTTCCTTGAAAAAAAGAAAAATTAATAAAGTTATTAAAGCTGGTTGAACACATTTACTGCTGTTCTGAGTGCAAGCTTTTATAATTACAAAATTATTCTACTTTAAGGATTTTTTTTTTCTTCTCGAAATCTTTCATTGCAGACATTGACAAGTTCATAAACTGCAACTATTCAAGCAAACTGTTGTGTATCACTTCAGATTACTAAATTGGAAACATGTTTTGTAGGGCGTGGTAATTTTCTTTCCCCTTGTCTATAATATTTTTAAACATAACATTTTATTCTCTATTTATGTATATTAAAAATTCCATTCAAAAATTGGGAGAAATAAAATTTAATAAACAAAATCAGTATTTTGTGGATTAAAAATTGAGAAGTTATGTGTTTCAAGCCACGTTCATTCATTTTCTATCCCAAGTGTTGTTTTGTCGAGGTCGTCCCGATGGCGACGTCGGTGAAAAGGAATTCCCAATCCCCCTACTATAAACTCGAACTGCGCATGCCCAGTTTTTCATTCACTCAACTGATGAGAGTAGAATACACAGGAAGAAGAGAGGCTGAGAAATAGGGGGGAAATTCTAGTGAAATCTATGGGTGGGGTTTCTTAGCTACCCCCTCTTCTGCAATGGAAACGTGGGAAATATATAAGTATTTTTTTCATACAACGTTGGAATAGAAATGCGTACGCATATATGTATTTTTTGCTAAAATTATGCGCACAAGATGCGTTCTTTTTTATTCCCTTTTTTAAATCGGAACGTTACAAATTTAACAATTTTAAATTTTATTAATTGATTTTTTTTTATCTAGCGAGTAACATTCTTAATTGATAAAGAGAAAGTATTAAAAAAAAAAAAAAACTGATGTCAAGTTTTTGAAAAATTTAGATTTTTAAAATTCAATTTCTCTGTACCGATTTCGTTGAAATTTATTTTTCCTAATAAAATTCCATTCTTTAAAAATTATGTAAACATTTTATATCTTTCAACTCAAAATTTTCTCGACTACTTTTAAATAAAATAAATGATTATCAAAGAAAAGATGTTTGCCGGAAATTTATCTTTGGATAAATTTTATATATGCATGGAAAAAAAATTTTAATTCTCGTCAAAAAATTTTCGAGGTAATGCTGCTAAGTACACAAGAAGTAAAATTAACATTTACTGGTCCAAATTTTCGACCTTTCTTTTGACCAAACTATTGGGACCCTCTTTCTCCTATTGCAGATACCACATTTTGGTGGTCAAAAATCATAAATCGTACAAAATAGGTGTGTTGATTCTGAGAAAGTACGTTTTTCACATCGTATAACGTTACTTAAAATATCACTATCATATGCATAATTGATTAGTATAGTTGAGTTCACCCCCTTGAATTATTAGGATTGAGATGTAGTACGTGAAAATCCAATCATTAGATCAAAAAATATTCAGGATGATTTTTTTTTCTTCCCCATGTCAAATAATTATTTTTTTCCCAGTTTCAGAAGCAGGAAAATTACTGCCGTAATTATGCTAAATTTGTCTAATAAATAAAAAAAAGTTGTTGAATTTATTGTTCCGTCATTATTTCTACCTTTTTATCATGTGTGTTTATTTAGAATTCTTCCTCCTTCTTTGTTTATCTTGTTATTTTACTTCCTTCTATACGCCTACTGGCACATCAGCTGTTTTAGTTTCCGTGCACCTTATTGAAAGTGAAAACACGTTCTATTTTTATTTCTTGCTGTAATTATTTTCAAAGAGAAATTAAACATACTCTCTATATACCGTGGAAATTTTTTTCATTGTTGCCGTCTCTCCCCTTCAAATAGCTGGGATGCAAATCTAAAAAGAGCTCACGAAATCTTTCAATATAAATATTTGTAGTCATGTCAATTTCTTTCCTCCTTTAATTATCGTTCGTCTGTATTGAATCGTTAAAATTCTTCAATTCAATAAATAGCAAACTAAACAAATTAAAAAAAAAAAATTCAATTATAAAAACCTGATTGGCGCTTCTTTCATTTTAAGTCTAATGTTTTTTAGAATCACTAATTTTCTAATTCTTATTGTATTCTTTCTGCAGACTTTGAGGGTATTATATAAGTCAGAAATCTAATTTTAAAAAAAAATCATATAAGGGGTAGAAAATGAATAGGTAGGCTTAGAAGTAGACAGTATCTAAATCTAACGATTCATTAACGAGGAAGCAGAGATTGGAAACATCAAAACCTGTTTTATTTTATTTTATAATCGTCGTTGTACATCAGACCCAATTTTGGGTTTACGACTACTAATGTTCAACTCGTAATTTAGAACCCCTATGTGTATTCTGAAATTCCCTATGTGTAAAATATTTAATATATTTTGCAACAATTATCATGAAATATATATATTTCGTAAAATCTACTGGACTTTTTCCTATGCATAATGTTAATTTGAATTCCTATGATGAAGAGTTTCTTCTCAAAACCTTGTTACGTCTAATATTTATCGAAATAGAACATGGATTTTTTCAGAAAAATAACTATTAACTTTATTGTAAATTTTTTTCGCGTTCCTTCAACTTTGAAATATTGAGAGTATACTGTATCTAAAATGGAAATTATATTTAAGATTCTCACTTGGCTTTGAGTTTTGATTTTAATGCCCACTGTTTTAACATTTTTGTTTCATTTTATTTACTTAAGTAAATTAGCTTTGAAGAAAACTAACTCTCTCTTTTTTATCTTTTCAGTCTGGCTTAGTACAGTTTATGGAAGAAGGAAGGAATGTAGAAGGAGAGACTGGTGGACGGTGGCCCTCTGTGAAGAATCTAATTTGCATAGGGATGACCGCCGTCGGAGCAATCACTATTGGAGCAGTCCTTAGTCGAACCTAAACACGATCACCATTTATAAATTGAGTTTTCTATTAGCCGTCAGTCACCCTTTCATTAACAGAAGCCAAATGATGTCGAATTTCTCCGTCTGCTCATCTCTTAATTACATTAAAATACCCAAAATAGAATTTTTATTTCTTTATTTTCATTATTTTTTTTAGAATTATTTTTGGAGTAATTGAAAAAGGCAGATGCCATTATTAAGAACAAAGTATTGAACTTTCAGATATATATAAAAAATTATTGTTTACTCTATCGAAATGAAAAATGGTTAATATCCAAATTTGTTTTACCCATGGAAATAATATTTGGCTTCTGCTATGGAAAGGGATGACTGATGCGTCTGCACCCCCATAATAACCCTCAGTGGTTAAACGTGAATTTGGAACAATGGAAAATGAATCTCAAAACCTTGCTGTTTGTTTGAAAATTACTGAGAAAAAAATACCTCATCGTCTTGAAGCTCATAGAAAATTTTGAAAAATTGTACGTGTTGAAAGTGAAAATCTATATACGTAATATTTCCTATAGTGTAAATGTGAGATCACATATGTGAGGTTATTTTTTACTTTTCAAACATTTCTTTAAAAAGAAAATATGGTTAACTATGCAATTTTTAAGGTTCGTAAAGTGCAAAAGGAACTCTTATGTTTGTTATTTTATAAAATTCAGTATTAAATGGGTTTTGTCTTGAATCAAAACCGTATGTGTGCGGTCAAATCAAACTGAATTTTTTTTTTAAAACTTAAGTTGTACATTCAAGTTAGTGTCCATGTGTGCAATCTAGTTAATGTGTGTGAACAGATGTGTGTGTTAATAATAGTTAATCAAGATTTATTTGAATTTGTGAAATTAATTATTAAATGGAATGAGTACAATTTGATCCAAAGATTAATTAAATTGCTTTCTGTTCACTTGAGGCAGCTTACTTTTCCCTTCAAGTCTAAGAATCATACAAGCCTATTCTCGGTGCAAGCGATTAAAAATGTCAATGATAGATGACGTCACATGTTTGTGACGTCATTCTGACGGCTGGAGTAAATCGAAACGTTGTATTGCTTGTTCCGAGAATCGGCGTTGTTAATTTTCATCTTTTTATTCATTGTTCATTTCATTATTGTATAATGGCTTAATAATTGTCATATTTTTTATGTAAAGGACAACGATGTCTTGTCTCCTAACAATTTTAAGCTTTTAATATTCTTAATTCAAAGAGTTGGAGTTTATATATTTTTGATAATTCGTTTATATTTTACAATCAGTTTTATTTGTGCGATTTTTTTTTAAAAAATCTATTAAGCATTCAAAGCTTAGTCTGTGTACATAGATTGTATATTATTTTGCCTTTTGCTATGCATCAGGTGTTTGTGTACATAAAATGGAAATGTATGATTGTGAGCTGAATGTCTTGTCCTATGTTCTTAATAAAAAATTATATGAGAAATTATTTGTGTTTATTTCATTTCATTCAAATTACTCTCATTACAAGAATTATGTAAGGTTTCAGTTAAAATTAAATAGAAAAGGAGCAGTTAAAAATTATAAGATTTTTTTTTCATTTAATAAGTTTGATGTGATTGAAATACAATTTTTCATAAACGCATATCCTTTTTGTAATTTTTTCAACACTTAATTGTAAGGTAAATACATTTTGTTCTTTTTTTATTCAGGATAGTTTTATTAATTTTCAAAAACTTCTTTTTCTGTGCGAAGTTAAATTGAGAGCTGTTCAAATATATTGTCTTTCATGAAGTACTGAATTAAATTAATATGCACTTACATTTTAAAATGAATAAGGTGGCATTTAGAGCAGAATATTTTATTGTGAAAGTAATAGATTTTTCATGTAATTAGTTTCATGCAATTCAAGTTAATTTTACGAGTTTCTTTTTATGTCTCGCGCTTTTAATGAATTGACAAAATTTTTTTAAAAAAAAGTACAATTTGGTTTTTTTTTTCTGCGTACTAAATCTAGTAGTATTTCGCTAAAAAAAATATATTTTTATGTTTATACAGAAAATTTCAAATTTTTAAAGCATAATTTAAGAAAAATTTAATTAACACAGCTACATTATACAGCGATGCCTGTTTTTTTTTCTTTTAATTTATTTTTAAGTATTAGCCTGACAACCAATCTTAATTCTGAAATAATGTATTCGAAAAGTTATTTCATACCTTCGAACATGAACTTACTAACTCGTCCACGCTGAAGCATTCGCCAAATGCGATAATATCGTACATTTAGTGAATGATTTTTTCCACTCGAAAGAAAAAAATTTTTTTAACTCTATCCTCAAAATTACGTCAAGATGAATTTTTCTAAACAAATCAGTATTTTTTATTCGATTACAGCAATTTTCGGTAGATGCGCCTCTTAACCAATTAGAATTGGGGTCCAAATAATATAAGCCTGAAGCAAAATAAATAAAATAGTTTTCTATGGGAAAAAAATTTATCTCTTCACAAAAAATAGTTAAGATTTGCATTTGGCGAAGAAATTTGATATTTGGCTAATAATTTGAAATCCTTAGAGCGGGCCCTAAACTATTATTAAGAATATTGAACAAATAGTGTGTTTCAAATAATTGACATTCTGCATACAAACAACGGGGGGAAAAATTATAAATACAAATAATATATATATATTTTTGAGCCGTGGGGGCTTAGGGGTTAGAGCATTCGCCTTCCAATGAGGTGAACCGAGTTTGAATCCCGGCGATGGCTGGTCGATACGAATCAGCATCCGGCTAGCACCGACCACAGTGCTGATGAAATATCCTCAGTTGTAGACAAATCATGGGTTGCCGTAAGCCTAACCGTGGGAGGTTTTCCTCTCCATGTAACGCAAATGCGGGTTAGTTGCATCAAAAGTCTTCTACTGAGGCAAATTTCTCCCTGCACTTAATCCAGGAGTTCCCTTGTCTTCTAGATAGGGTTCAAAATTACGAGGCTTTGTAGTTGAACATTGGTAGACGTAAATCAAAAATTGGGTCAGTGACGGTTATAAAATAAAATTGTTAAGGAGACATAACGTTGGCTCAGCGGAAAAAGAATTCCCTTACCAATGAGGTGTCCTGGGTTCGATAACTGGTCTATATGGGTTCTACTCCCAGCTGGCATGGACCAGAAAGTTAAGCGAAAGATCNCCGCGAAAGCAAATTTCTTTCAATACTTGATCCAGGAGTTTCCTTGTCTTCTGGATTAGCTCAAAATTACAAGGCTACGGAGTTGAATTTAGTAGTCGCAAATCCACAATTGGGTCGACTGTTCAACGACGGTTATAAAAAATAAAATAATCATTTTTAATGTTCCTTCTATACGTGCTTTGAACTAATAAAAAAAATCATGACTTATTCCGTAATTGACAAAATAAAAGCGAATGACTATGAAACACGAGGATAATTACCGCCGTACAAGTACACTAAAATAATGAAGACATTATCGTAAGAGGAAACAGGAAAACGTGAAATTCACACGAAGAAAAAAAAAATTCTCTTTGCCTATGTAAATAAAATTCCACTTTCCTTCTGAATGTCTTTACGTGTGTCACATTTAATTGCCAATGAATGGCAGTCGTTTTTTCGAACGTATACATAGACACTACGACAGAAATCATGCATATTAAAAAAAGTAAATACCGCCTTGTCCCAACACAGTTTGAAAAAAGGATTTTAGTTATAATTGCATTTTTTCTTGTAAATGATTACTTTCATTGTAAAGGTATATTTTTAAATCCAAGGGGAACAAAGAAGTATGGAGGAAAAATATCAGGAAAAAAAAAACTCATTATTTGTTCTATAAATGCAAGTCCAGTCATTGAACCCGAATTAAACTATTTCAACCAATTTTAGGACAAGCACAGGAATTTTATAAAATATATAATTTTCATTGAAATATGCATAAATTACATTCATTAAAACACACAAAAGAAGTTTCTATCATAAAAAATACTTTATTTAAGAAATAAAATGGCGCGTTTATGCATCATTGGCTAAATCGATAACTTAATTAAACACTAGTTTTTTTTATGACATTTGTTTTATGTTTATTCTATTTACTGAACGTGCAACCTTATTCCAATTAACGTACCAGTTGAAATCTCAAGAACGCTTGAAAATACCGGAAAAATAAAATTAGTGAAAAACATACTTCATGGAGATAATAAAAAATTTTTTATCGTCACGCGTCTTAGGACTAAAATGGTTTAACCACTTTCCTTACCAATTATTTCGAAGAAGAAAAAAAAAGCAAAATTCAACATATTTTTTTTAATTTATTAATAAATACAAGGAAATAAAACAAAACATAATACACAAGTTTAAAGTTGAAATTTCAACTTTTTTTTTTTATGTGTAAGAAACATTTAATTTAAAATCAGTTTGCTCGGGCAAATGAAAAGAGTTAAATATTAGTCTTCGTATGATAGTTCTTAAAACAAGGGACAACGCAAAGTGATACTTTTCAAACGTCAGTGAAGAAATACGCTATTTTATTTTTCTTCTTACTCTTATCGCTATGTAAATTCAGCAACCATCGTATATACCAGTGGTTACCAACTGGCGGCCCACGAAGCCTTTTTTTGTGGCCCGCGAACTATAATATATTAGTTGTCATTTTTTTGCGGACAATTTTCGTAAAAAATCTATATGGGTTTAAATTACTTTTCTTTCTTTAAAAAAAAAACCTAATTTCTTTGTTTCTGTGTAATTTAACATACCAACGGTGGAAAAATAAATTATTTCTCAAGTTTTGCATCCAAGAAAATATTTATTCAAGTACAAAAATAATCGCGTATGTTGCCCTTGTTTACTTCGCTTTTTTTTTTTTTTTTTTTTTTTTTTTTTTTTTTTTTTTTTTTGTGAATATAATTTAGCATGTGTGTATCAGAAATTTTCTCGAAGAAATTCTCCGATTTAACTTTCTGAAACCCTATTCATTTTGGACGAAATTATTTACATTTGTAAGTTTTGTAAGCCAGACTGTTTTAAGCCAGAATGTTTTAATATGCAATTAAATATTTTTAAAAATCTACTTCTTATTTTAATTTGTAATTCAATACCTTTGTTTTGTACAACTTGATAAAAATCTGACAGTACCGTCATGTGGGGCTACTTTGTGCAGGATTTCGCAGTTTTTGAACTTTGACATATAAAAAAACTATGTTAATTCAAACTTCAGTAAAATTTATCGATATTATATTTATAACTGGACTCAGACGAGTGAATTTGATCAATATTGGCATTATTTGTATGTAATATTTACACATAATAAGTCAAAACATACCTTGCACAAAGTAGCCCCCAAGTGGGGCTACTTTGTGCAGTGATAGGAATCCAATTTAATAATCATGTTTTTAGTAAAATATTGATATAAAATTGTTAAAAAAGTTATTTTGTTGATATTTTTAATAACAAAAACATCAAGATATGTAAAGATATTAGTTTGAAAATAATTTTCAGCGTTAAAAAACCATTTTTTTTAAAGAATTTTTTCTTAAAAAGAATGTTTATTTCAAAACATTTGAGTTTAAACAAAAGGAAACCATATACATTTTTGAACATTGAAATGGATGAAATTTCAAAAATAATAATTATTACATATTCATTAACATTTATAATATTGATAAATTTGAACATAACATGCTTGAATGAACATGACAGAACTTGCTCTTCAGTTTCTGTCAAAATCACCTGATGTCCTATAAAATATATTTTTATGTGTTAAATCTTTTGATTAATTCATTAAAAAAATCTTTGTAGAAGAAAAATAATAGTTTACCAGCACGTTTCACGTGCTTCTTGTGAATTTTATTAGATATAGTATTTCTGTGGAATTTGTACTTCCGAGAAGCTTCTGCAATCGACATACCAACAGCAACTGCTTGCAAACCTTGTTGCAGCTTTGCTAAAGTGTAATCACGGTAGTTTCTCGTTCCAGGTATTTTTTTATAACGTATGACAATTTTTCTGTCGAAAAAAAAAAACGAATGAAACTGTGCACAAAGTAGCCCCACAGTGCATTTTTTTTCATTTTCCGATTATTTGTTATTAATTTTCAAATTTTTTTAACGCTCACATGATATAATTGCTTATTAATATATAAATAAAATATTTTGCACTAACGACAATTGTTTCATCAACGTCTTTGCATTTCACAGCTAAAGTTTCCACACACACTTTTCGGTTCTCGGAAAGTTGTTGACATTGGATAAACAAAACACACTCTGAGATTGTTTTAAAGTTCGAAAATGTTTTTGTAGTAATAGAGGAGACTTCTATCTTCAAATTCCACACATTTTTAACGTGAAAAAAACATAATACTGAATAGCAGCACTTGAAAAGTGTTCAATTCGAATTTGCACAAAGTAGCCCTACATGACGGTAATATTTAGTGTTCCTTCAAGCATAAAAGAGTCCTATATTAAATTTTGATAAAGTTGCGGCCCTC